CAGATGGTGGCGGTAATGCGCCAATTACGCTGGATGCCAACCGCCATTAAACATTAAGAAGAAGTAGAAGAAGAAGAAGTGTCGTCGATCCGTCTGTAGTGGGTTGTGGAAGTGCGGGTGCTGAAAATGCGGTAAAACATCAACAAACACATCAGATTCACACATGTAATTGAGTTTTGTTTTATTTTGTTGCTTTGCGAACAGTCAGTAAGGTTCATCTCTGATGTTTCCTGCTCGTGAATCCGTCCCGTTTGTTGTGTTGAGGTTTTAGCTCGTGCTGTCACGTTTTGGTTGTTTACACAATTACACATAATTTATAGTTCAGAAAACAAACAGTGTTAAAATAAATAAGTCTTTAATGCAGTTCATTAACGAAGATCGACTAACAGCTTTGAAGCGGTTACTTGTACGATAAGAACAACATAAACTGGTTCATTAACTGATAGCTTAGCATGCAGTGTCTTTGCCAGTGATTATCTAGTTTATTTCTAATATTTATATATCTGTATATCTCTTTGTGTAGTGTTTGTCATATATGATCCAATCCCAGCTTTCAATGTATAAAAAGACGCCATCAAATCTTTATAGTACTTGAAATGTTTCTTAGTTATTTTCATATCATGTGAGCAGTGATTCTCAGATGAATATGTTTATGATTGTTATGATCTAGTTGAGTCACAGTGTTAAAAGAGTGTTTCTCAGTATAAAGAATAACTGCACTGTGACTCTGGAACAAAGATGCTGTGTGTGTGTGTGTGTGCGTGTGTGAGAGTGTGTGTGTGTCTGTGTGTGTCTGTGTGTGTGAGTGAGTGTGCATGTGTGTGCATGTGTGTGTGTGTGAGTGAGTGTGCGTGTGCGTGTGTGTGAGAGAGTGTGCGAATGTGTGTGTGTGTGTGTGTGTGTGTGTGGAGGACCGTGTCAAGTCACCTTTATTTATACAGCGCTTTTAACAATACAGATTGTGACAAAGCAACTGAACAGCATTAATTAGGAAAATAGTGTCAATAATGCAAAATGACAATAGTAAACACTCATTTTTCAGTTAAAGACAGTTCATCATTGAATTCAGTGATGTCAACATCCAGCTCAGTTTAAATAATATCTTTGCAATCATGTCAACGATAACGCTGGAAATGAAGTAAATGATCCCAGAATTTTACTGAAGTGGACTATTCCTTTTAAAGTATAACTCATGTTTTCCCTGTCTACTACCTTTCATGTAACAGCTTATGACGGTCAGTAGTGAAGGGTTTGGGACTGTGAACTTTCTTATGTTGTTATTAGCTAATTAGCATTGTCATGACTATAGTCTCCAGAGTGATTAATCACATGGCATTAACAGCTCACACGACTGGTTCCCATGAGCAAAGCTGACAGATTTAAAATTGCATACTTCAGAGGGTTCCTATGTGAGTCAAGCAATAATTCCCACCTTTTAAACCAAAGAGCCAATCACCAATTGGTAAAGTCATCAGATCACCGCTCCTCTTCCCATAGAAACAGTCAATCAATCACAAGTTAGGGAATGCAAATGTGCACTCGGCTTTACCAACCTGAAATATACATTTTTTAAACACTATTTGAGCATAAGAAACCAATTTATGGCACTTCATGACAAATGTTGTTGCTGATTTGTGAGCTGGGCCAGCAGTTTTTCTATAAATAACTGCCCAGAGGCATTGCAAATATGGACGCAGAAAAAACTGACTTTCCTTGTAAGGGACTTTGGTTTCCCCAGTTTTTATAGACCTCTTTGGTATAAAGAGACAAATAGACATGAATATTTTGGCAAGCATTTAAGAGTTGTTTAGGGGTCTACCACACCATTGGGTGCTGTAGGGACGACATATTTTTGTAGGTAAAAACCCAGAAACTAGTTTTTTTT